CGTTGGATCAAATCAACCTCAAACCACCTTTGGATCAATGGTGTACATCTTGGAGCTTGCATAGAGGCATACATGAGGCTGGAGCAAGGGGGCATCGGGCGACCACCTAGGGGTGTTGGCCGACCCCCTATGACAGGTGGGGCCTCCCCTTCTTCTAGAAGCTGGGTCCACTTCTCATGAGTGGGTGTGGGTGCCTACAAAATGGTTGTCATGTTGGTTTGCTTCCTTGTGGGCCCATGGATCAGTGGGAGATGATTGTGAGCCATCCATAAGAAGCACAATTGTGATCCAAGGGTGGAGAATCACTTTGGAGTATGTTACATGCATCATGGGAGGCTAGTGGGCCCCACGGGGGGTATGCCAACCCCCCTATGTGGGTCCCAATGGCTCATCTATTCCTATTTGTCATTATCAGCATAGAAAATACTCCATGGACATGGACATGTGGAACTAGTTATTTGATAAAATATGCTCAGGATATGCTTGTCTCCCTTCATCCTGAGTCTATTGATGGTCATTTTAAATATAGAAAATTATGACATTTTCACCATCAACATTTTACATTTCTGCAATTTACTATTCTGCAATGTCGTGCCTACACCTAGGTAAGAAGGTAAGTAAACATTGGCTATCCGGCAGTGTTGGCAAACTGAGCTATCACACGGCTTGATAGATGTGGGCTATCATGCAACGTCAATAGCTGTTAGCTACCACACAGCATCGGTAGACTTCCTGTCGGTGATAGGACCGGACGCTTCCCCCAACAAGTGACCTACTTAAGGTGCAACCCATATAGCGATATGTGGGGGTGTGAATCCAATCATTGAGATAGTCATGACCGTGTCCCTGGGACATGTTTACTTAGGGATGTCCCATAAGGTGATTTATACGGGAAGTCAATATGTTGCTCGTAGCATATGAAGCGTTCTCCGTGCAACGTTAATCTCACGGGTACCACTCCTGCATGTTGGGTGGTAATGTATGCTAGGGTGAGCTATGATGAAATCTTCTACATGTACACTAAACACAAATAGGTAGTTTTGAATATAGCTGATAACTAGTTATATATAGAGAGAGTACGTGTTATGCCATTGAAACTATAAACGTGATTCACATCATGTCATGGCAATGTTGTGAGGAGAGATAGGATGAACATGCATCATGTTTTTTACTTTGTGCATTAACATGCTTCCTTCACCTCTCCTAGTAATAACTTATTGCAACTAGCTAGTTATCAATGTGATGCTATCCTCTTTCTGTGAAACTAGGTAGAGACTCATATACTATGGTGTTTGAATGGCTTTGCCCTGTATGTTTTGCTTCAAAAGACTGAATAGATAACAACTAATAGTTAATAAAACTCTTAAATTATATGAAACTGAATCTTATGGTTGGAACTTGCAATTGGCCAGTACATACGTCTTTTTTCATGAAGGGTCAGGTTTGTCATCGATCCCACAATATTACACATGAGATTGTTATATAAGAATGAATACCTAGTCACCTAGGTAGTTCCATGTTTTCATGTGATCCTTTGTCCTAAAAATAGACAAGAGGTTTGTAGTTGAGCCATGCCAACTTCTCTCCTTAAAGATCCGAGTCTGTGTATGGATTTTTGGCCCTAGAATGCTTCCACCAGTACAAACATGTACATTGCATCTTACCTGCCTTTTATTTGGTCAACTAGTTTCAAAGAAATAACTAGTTGGAGTTAAAGGTCTAAAGCTAGCTCAAGACTTTGGTGTTATGGAGTTAGAAAAGTCGAGTTTACGACCTTCTAAAAATGGCACTCTCGACCAGCCTAGCTTGTACGAATACCTAGTTATGTCCCTTGGGTTAACCGAGACCTAGGTTCATGTACCTACTTTGACAGTTATGCCAAAGCCCAAACAATTCGATATCACTGCAACAATGGATGAATCCCTCTAGAAAAACACCGAAATTCTTCTGGACTATCCTAGGAATCCTTTGGTGCAAGGGTATTCTCGATTGCCACATTGCCTTGTGGTCTTGTTACCTTTGTGAACCATATTGTTGCTATGGCATCGAATCTACAGTGGTGTATCGATTTTGTTCCATGAATTATACTTGTTCCCATTCCAAATTCTTTCAAGGTTTCTGAATGCTCGTCAGCCTTCATCTTATCCTTGCTGCCCCAAGAATAAATACTTGTTGGCTTCTACCCTCGTGGCCAACCTTGTTTGCTTTTCGTCGCAAAAAAAAAAAATCCACCTACACGTGGTACTTGTCCTTGTAAGATCCAATTGTGCCACGTGGGATTTTCTTTGGTGGTGTGCTGGATAGTGGTGCCATGGTTAGGCCACATGGTTATGCTGCTTCGCACACATGGATGTCTACTTCACCCACGGACGGTTAGAAATCAGCAACACAATCTACTACGATGTTATAATCACTGTCGTACTACATACAGAATAGGCACATTCATCACTATGGGGCAACCTAGGATGACAACCCTGGCCACTACCTCGGCTAGGGGCAACACCAAGCAACCTTCAACGCGTTCGCACAAAAAGGTGACCCCTGTGAACTTCAGTCGTGACACTACAAGGAAAATGACAACCCTACAAGGAGCATTTGGCAAATTACAGAACATAGATGCGCTGTGACAAAAATGCGAGAAAGATGTCATGGGCCTAAATGGGTCATATACTGCAGCCAGCGTGGGCTTTAGTGAATAGTACCCATGAGAGCTGTAGCACTAGCAAGAGTTAGGTTTATAGTTAGAGTCTACAAAATAGGATTGCTTGTAACACAAGTCGAAGTCAGGTTAGATCCTGGGATTAAGAGTGTCTCCGAGAGTTCTCTAAATATTCATCTTAAAAAGTTCATGTTTACCAACTCCTAAAAGGGTATTGGAAGAAAAAAAAGGACATCTCCAATAGTTCTTAATATTTCACTTCTAAAAAATTTAATTTTTTTTGCCGGCCTTTTTTTCCGCATGGGTCTTTTTGTGCTCGTGCAATACGTATGTTGCCGCCTCCTCCTTTCCTTCGTGTTGCCCTAGCCCTGCTCCTCCCAGCCGGCGTTGGCCATTTCCCCGAGCCATTTTTTCCTCCCAGCCCGCGATTCCGTGCCGTAGCTAGCCAGCGGAGTCCAAGGGTGGCCTGCTACCACACAGGGCTAGGAGGCAGCCAGCACTCATCGACCTCGCCGTAACGTAAACAAACTGATCCTCTGATCCTGCTAATTAAGCTACCTTCGTCGTCGTCCACCATGCCACGTTTCGACGACGTTGTGGAGTTCGACCGCAATATTCTGGAGCTCGAGCTGATGACCGAGCAGGCCTTCCTATCCTGAGCTGAGGCGTGGATCGACTACTTCAGGAGAGTCGCGGCGTATGCCGAGGGCGTCCTCAATGGCTTCGAGTGCCGCCGCCGCGAGTCGAGGATGACCATAAGGCCCAGATGCCGGCGGCGCGCGCACAGGGCGCTGAGGTACTTGACCCTTCAGAACCCGACACTGGTCCAGAGCGCCGTGGCCAGGGACGTGCGGAGGGCGCTCACGCACGTCAAGACGATGGTCTGGAGGCCGCGTTCCGGCAGACAACCTCGCTGATGTACGACCACCCTGAGTGGGTGATGGGCTGGGACGGCGATGTGGAGGCGGCAGTGGAGCTGCTGCTAAGCCAGCGCGACCAGCGGGACACGCAGGTGCTGGCTGTCACGGGCGCCGCTGGCATGGGCAAGACCTGCCCTCGCCAGGATGGTGTTCAACGACGCCAGAGTGCAAGAGAAAATGACGGTGTGAAGAAAAAATGGCACGAGGAGAAGGATACACGGAGCCAGAGGAGCGTGTAACTTTACACGGATTGGGTCAGTTTTTCCTAAGTGCGTAAATTTTAGGAGGAAGGAATAGGAGTTATTGGAGAGGGGGATCATTCTAAAAACCAAGAATTAGGAAGGAATTCAGTGAACTCTTGGAGATGCTCTAAGCAAGAGTAATCCAAGGGTAGAACCTAAAAGCTCTCTAGCCTCCAACGCTCGATCCGCCGACAAACATGCCACCTTCCCTGTGCTTGGACGGCTGTTGTTGCCGCCCCCACCCTCAGCTAGCCCTAGGGTAGCTGTTCCAGTCCCACCCCTACCCAATTCTATCCTATAATCCTTGTCCCCAGATTCAAACCATTACATAAAACATTAGCAGGTTTAGTTGACGAATAATGAGATAATCAAGTTTGGGCACGTAAGCAATAAAGATGGAAGTGTATAAGCCACATTGTTTTGGGTCTATTTAGTTCAACTATGAGCTATGAAAAACCAGTTGCGAGTTATACGTTGTGAAAAGGTTGTAAACTTCTAGTTAAAATATCTATGGAAACCACCATTTCTCTTTATCTCCCTTGAAACAAGTGTAAAACGTATCTTCATTTCCAATTATTTGAAAAGGCACAAAGTCTAGTTTGTCGACGTTCTTGGTTGATCCTGAACGCTAGCGTCTTGCCAGCGGGTGTAGAATACCTGGAACTTGTCCACGTCGTGTAACTTTGCTTCCCTGTCGTCTTAATGAAAAACAGGTTTGCAAAAAAAGAAGGTAGAAAGTTGAAAGCCAAAAGCAGGATCAAAAGTGCTGTGAAATTGTACTACCGAAAGTAGTTGAGAAAGCAGCTTTTGCGAAAATTGTACTAGCGAAAGTAGTTGCGAAAGCAGCTTTTGGTTCTACTCGTTTGGTTGACTTTTGATTTTTGGCAGCAGCAGCACTTTCCAAAAGCTGAACAGACAACCTTTATCAAGTTGGATAACTTACAAACTGCAAGGCATAGCTCACTCACCAACAGGAAAAGTCTACATAAGGGTCGGTGAGTCTATTCTACCACATCATCCTAGCCACTGCAACAAAAGAACGGTGTAATAAGTAACAGATCTATCACGTATTCTAGATTCAAAAAAGAAATAGCAATTTACGGACTAGTTCACAAATCAAACATTGCATACTATCAGATGCGAGATACAAAGGAAGAGATTACCATAATAAACGTGAATTCACTTGTGTTTTGCTGATGTGTCCTCCAGAAACTTCCAAGAGGACTTCGCCACCTTTGATGGCGGAGATCCCACAGATTGCACGAGACTTTCAAGATGTCTGATTTTGTTTGCTACTTTCTCCAGTTTCATTATATCATCATCAAGAGTATCAGGAGGCACCTCTGTAGCAGGTTCAGATGAAGTTTTCTGTCTCTTGAGAGAGATTGGACCTGATTGATCATCCAAAAGGGCCTCAGGAGAATCACCTCGCTTAGCAATATGATTCTCCATTCCACTTTTCATGCAGCAATTGACATTTTGGTTAGGTGGAAGTTCTCCTTTTGAATTGGTAGCCTCCTGAGGCAGTTCAGATGCTCCATTCAGACATTTTGGTGATTCCACTTTACCATCTCCTTGATTGTTCATGAAAATTTTGTCATTGATTTTTGCCGAAAGTTTTGTATCAGTGTCTACGGCTTCCGCAGGCACATCAGAGAATCCATTTAAGCATTTTTGTACTTCCTCTTCACCACCACAAGGTTGCTCAATGTCGTCATCTGAGGTGCTACTCCCTGAACCTGCATTCAGATTGTGAACAAATATTATGATACATTGCTACAGGCTATTCTTTCAGAATTTTTTTTCTCAAATAAACAGGAGAACTACATCTTTGCACTAAGAAAACAAAAAAAATGCTTACAATTAGGGGGTACAGGCAGTTGTTTCTCTACAAAAGTTAGAATTATTTCTCCACATGAGTCAAAGACTGCGTATCAACACACACTACTAATGTACACAAGAACCCTTACAATGCATGCCAACACATACTCACGAAAAGAAATTAAATACAAACAGAGCTTGCCTATGAATGAACTTGACCTAGACAAGAGAAACCCCAATTAACCCCCCTCCTGGTGCAAGCGCCAGAAGTGTTGGCTGGAATATTGAAGTCCTATATAAAAAGGACCATCACTTTAAATATTCCATGGATTGATTTTGAAGTGTCTATGTCAAAACGTTTCGTGGTATATTACAATCCAGTTTGCTAAATGATGTTGTTAGAATAGGCGCCCTAATGGGCTGGCCTTGGGCCTGGCGCCTAGCCTGTTAGGCTGGCTGCCTTAGGGGTTAAGATAGATAGATTACATTGATAAGGCAAGGATCACCGTTGATTAGGTGTTTCTATAAACCCTAAATCCTTGCCTATATATTGTACCCTGTACTGCTGCTAATCTATCAATCAATTCCCGAGACCTATTCGCTCTCATGGTATCAGCCGCCTAGGTTTAGGTCTCCTCTTCCGCTGCCCACTCCACACGGGCCGGCCCCTCGCCACGCTGCGCCCCTCCGCGCGCCGGTACCCACCGTGCTGCGCCACCATGCCCTCCACCCCTCCAAAGAACCCTGTGGTGGGAACGATCGCCGCCTCTCGCCACCATCCAGCAGACGCCGTCGCCAATGCCTCGCCGCGGAGAAGGCTAACGAGGTTGCGCCATTGCTTTCGGCGTCTCGGCCTGAGCGAAAGGCCAGTCGCGCATGATGCTGCCCTAGCACGCGCGCGCCTGTGCCGAGGAGGAGGCCCATACCAGCGGCTAAGGATCGCGACGCCGCCGCCGCCCCAAGGCTTAGCGAGAAACCTTGGCGCTGCCGCCAAAGGAGTGGCGGCCATCGCCGCCGCCGTTGCTCCGGAACCGGCGGCCGCACTGGAGGCACGCCGGTGCCGCCACCCGATCTTCAGTAGCCGCCATGTCGCATCACGAGGCCGTTGCCCTTTGCAGCTCCATGCTCAGGCTATTGCGGTCAGCAACATCCGGAACCACATCACCACCATCCTCGACGTCGATTCCGGTAACTTCAACCGCTGGCATGATCTGTTCCTTCTCATCCTCGGCAAGTTCTCCTCCGGGATCACGTTCGAGAGGAACCTCCACCCCAATTCCTCTTGATTGGGCCCGGATGGACTGCGTCGTCAAGTCTCGGATCGTCGCCACGCTCACCGAGCGATCTTGGCGAGATCATCTCGCCCGAGGCTCCACCGCTTCGGCATGCAGCGCTCGCCGTCGAGTCGCAGATTCCTTGGCAACCGCGAGGCTCGCTCCATCCACCTCAAGACGCGGTTTCGCAACTTCGCCCGTCGGCGACCTCTCCATCACCGACTACTGCCACAAGCTGAAAAAGATGGCCGATGATCTCACGGCCCTTGGCGAGGTCGTCACCGACCGCACACTCGTCCTCAACGTGATCCGCGGCCTCAATGAGCGCTTCACTACGTTGGGACGCTCTTCGTCGCGCCGACCGTTTCCCCACCTTCCGGAGGCTCGTGGCGACCTCATCCTCGAGGAACTCACCATGGAGACCCGCAAGGACGCTTTTGCCGCCATCGCGATCGCCGCCTCCACCACTCCCGATCCCGCCCTGCGTCCCTCCGACGCGGCGGCTGGTGGAACTCAAGACGCTTAACAACCGCCGCGCAGCAAGCGGCAAGCGGTGGTGGCGGTAAAGGCACAACGGCGGCGGTGGCCCTCACGGGCGAGGGTCACGCCCCATCAGTGGCGAGACAACAGCAAAGAAGAAGAAGAAGAAGAAGCGGCCGGCGGCGGGCGGGCCATGGCCAAATGGCGTCTACAACCCCTAGACCGGGACCATTCGAGATGTGGCTAGGGGACCTCGTCCACCGCTAGCACCCATCCAAAGTGCCTCCTCACTGCGCAGCGCAGAAGCGGCAAGCACAACAACACGCACAAGAAGAGTGAGCCTTCCTCGCCTAACAAAGCAAGAAGACGCGCTTGTTGCCTTGCCCACCGCCAGTGCTTGCCCCCTCGCCTCTCGATGGGCTTTTGGGCGGTGGGTCGCCTCAGGTATTACAACCCGGTGGCCGGCCTCCCCTCTTGGGACCCGACGGCCCTCGCCTCCGCCTTCAGCACAACGTCGCTGACCCCTCCTACGACCAACGAGTGGTACTTCGACTCAGGTGCTACTTCACATATGACATCTCAGTCCTCTCTTTCACATGTTCTTCTCCCGCGGTACCCTACTCCTTCATCCATTGTTGTCGGTAATGGCTCTCTTCTTCCTATCACTGCCACTGGCTCTACAGAGTTGTCTCGTAATTTACGTCTTAATAATGTCCTTATGTCGCCACAAATTATTAAGAATCTTATCTCTGTTCGCCAATTTACTACCAACAATAATTGTTCTGTTGAGTTTGACCCCGCTGGTTGTTCTGTGAAGGTTCTTCCATCTCGGACCGAGATCGTCAGGTGCAATAGCTCTGGGCCGCTATACCCTCTGCGCCTACCCCCAGTACGCTCCCTTGTCGCCCAGGCTTCCTCCCCGCTCTGGCATCGGCGCCTTGGCCACCCCGGTCATGAGGTGTTGTCGAAGCTCGCGTCTAGTGTCTCCTGTCATATTCAGGATTGCTCAGAGTTATGTCATGCTTGTCAATTGGGCCGTCATGTTCGTTTGCCCTTTCATGAGTCCACCTCTCGTGCGTCTAGCAAGTTTGATCTTATACATTGTGATTTATGGACCTCTCCAGTTGTCAGCATTTCTGGTTATAAATACTACTTGGTCATACTTGATGATTGCACTCATTATTTGTGGACATTTCCTTTGCGGCTTAAATCTGACACTTTCAGCACGCTTGCTCACTTCATCGCTCACGCCTCCACCCAGTTTGGCGCCCGGGTCAAGGCTGTTCAGTGCGACAACGGGAAAGAGTTTGACAACTCTAGCTCCCGTCAGTTTTTCCTCGCTCAGGGCATATCCACCTTCGCATGTCCAGTCCCTACACATCGTCTCAAAACGGTAAAACTGAACGCATTATTAGCTCCATCAATAATGTTGTTCGCTCACTGCTCTTTCAGGCGTCCATGCCTCCGTCCTACTGGGTAGAGGCCCTCTCTACAGCCACTGTTCTGCTCAACATACTGCCTACCAAGACTCTACAGTTTTCCACACCGCACCTTGCCCTGTTCGGCAAGCACGGCCACCAGGACCACCTCTCCCGCGCCACGCGCGGCCACGGCGTTGCCCAACACGCTTGGAGAGGCCTCCCCGCTCTACATCCCGCCTGCCCTGCGTGCAGGCGCAGGACCCCCGCCCGGGTTCCCACCTCTCCGATCGGATCGGGCCTTCACGTACCACTACACGCGTCGACCCGACACCGGCTGGCTCTCTGTACCAACCGCGCGCCGACACCGCTTTGCTTTCAGTCGCTGCTCCGCCTGCCGCCGCCCGCTACCCAAGGGCGTCGTTGTTGTCATTCCGATGACGAACCAAAGACGCGCTATGGGGCGCAGCGGTCGAAGAGCGGCTATCGGATGCTCGCCGCCGCCACCCGCCCCCCTCTGCGGTGCAAAGACCTTTCAGAAGCGCTCGTTGACCCCAATTGGCGGCGGTTATGGAAAGAACACAGTGTTCTCTTGTAGAATCACACTTGGGACCTCGTGCCTCGACCTCCTCGTGCCAACGTCGTCCGCGGCAAGTGGATTTTCAAGCACAAGTTTCGATCGATGGCTCCCTTGAGCGGTACAAGGCACATTTGGATTCTTCGTGGCTTTACCCGTGCGGCTGGTGTTGACTTCATTTTGAGACGTTCGATCCCGTGGTGAAGCCGCCATCTCTGTCAACGACGATGCTCTCCTTGGCGCTTGTGAAGAACGTCTTCCTTCATGGCAATCTGTCTGAGGTTGTGTATTGCCAGCAGCCGTCCGGGTTCGAAGATCCAACTCACCCAGACTTTGTCTGCCTTCTGAAGAAATCCCTTTACGGCCTAAAGCAGGCTCCTCGCGCATGGTACAGCCGGATGGCCTCATTCCTGCTGTCTATTGGGTTTGTTGAAGCCAAGTCAGACACCTCACTTTTTATTTACCGGCGTGGATCGGATCTGACCTACACCAAGTTGCTCTATGTGGATGACATTGTCCTCACAGCTTCCTCACCCGGTCTCCTTCGGCGGATTATCTCAGCGCATGAAAGACCTCGGTGCATTGCATCACTTCCTTGGTATGTAGGTTCAGCGAAGTGGTGATGGGCTCCTCCTCTCACAATGACGATATATCTTTGGACATTACGGAGCGCAGGAATGATGAGTGCTAGCCGTGCTCCACTCTAGTTGACACTAATCCGAAGGTTCTTTGCGGTGATGGAGCCCCTGTGTCCGATGCTACTGAGACTTCGCAGCTTTGCCATGCACTCTCAAAGACACAGCGTTCACCCGCCTAGACATTGCATATGCGATTCAAGAGGGTCCGCCTCCACATGCATGATCCTCGTGAGCCTCACCCTTCGCCTCAAGAGGATTCTTCGCTACGTTTGAGGCACTATTCACCTTGGTCTCTCGCCGCAACCGTCTACTTCGACCGATCTTGTCGTCTCTACACCGACGCCGACCGGGTTTGTTGTTGTGGGACACTCGCAAGTCCACCTCAAAGCTATGCGGTGTTCCTTGGCGACAACCTTGTTTTCTGGTCCTCAAGCGCCGTAACACGTTGTCAAGATCCGATCTTTGAAGCCGAAGTATCGCGATGGCCAACGGAGTTGCAGAGGCTACTTGGCTCCTTGACTACTTGAGGCTGCATGCCCCTCACGACGACGCCACCTTTGGTGTATTGTGACAACATCGGTGCCGTCTACATGACCTCCAACCCGGTTCAAAGACATCAGCGCACCAAGCACATTGAGATCGATCTTCACTTCGTCCGGGAGCGAGTCGCCGTTGGTGATCTCCGTGTTCTGCATGTTCCCACCTCTTCGCAATATGCAGATATCTTCACCAAAGGGCTGTCTACTTCAGTTTTCATGGAGATTAGGTCCGGTCTAAACGTGCAGAGTGGCTGACGATTCGACTGCGGGGGCGTGTTAGAATAGGCGCCCTAATGGGCTGGCCTTGGGCCTGGCGCCTATCCTGTTAGGCTGGCGCCTTAGGGGTTAAGATAGATAGATTACATTGATAAGGCAAGGATCACCGTTGATTGGGTGTTTCTATAAACCCTTATTGATACTTGCCTATATATTGTACCCTGTACTGCTGCTAATCTATCAATCAATTCTCGAGACCTATTCGCTCTCAGATGTCCTAAGATCAGCAGTTTGCAGTTAAAATCGGCACATTTCCAATTGTTGTTACTTATTCATGTCATAGCTATAACAATTCACGATAATTGATACTCCCTCCGTTCCAAATTATAAGTCGCTTTGACTTTTTTTGGTACATCCATTTTGCTATGTATCTAGTTCCAACGTATGTCTAGATGTATAGCAAAATACATGTACCAAAAAAGTAACGGAGGCAGTACCTCAAATTAGACAAAACAAGGATCTATTTACTATTTTATACTCCCTCCGTCCCAAAATAAATGATGTTTTAGGTTTGTCCTAAGTCAAACTATTTCAAGTCTGACCAAATTTATACAAAAAGGTACTAATGTTTTTTATTCCAAATAAGTTCTATTAAATTCATCATGAAATATATTTTCATACTCTACCTATTTGGTGCCATAAATATTGATGTTCTTTCCTAAGAAACTGGTCAAACTTGAAATGGTTTGACTTAGGACAAACCTAAAACATCACTTATTTTGGGATGGAGGGAGTATTTGTATTGGATAGCTCAATGGAAAGAAGATTTGATACAGCCCTTTCATTCAAGAGAGGAATTGCTGTGTTGATGCTGCAGCACACATCCACCACATAGTAACCCCTATATAAAGATCCATCCAACACTACAGGAATGGTACTGCAGCAATATGTTGGGTAAAGATGTCAAAACTGATTAGGCTCCTTAAAGAACTGTATCTGAGCCATATTTTAATGTAATAATAAAATAAATCAGCAGATTCTTTGTACCTGATCTCTGTATAATCAACTGAGCGGTGTACCAGCACTTCCCATTGTCCTAAAACAGAATTATTAGCTAGGTAAATAAAGAAATAGATGGCAATTAAACAATTAGTTGGCAATATTCAATATGTGAAGCCATTGAATTATGTATTTGCTTGTTCATATCCATGGGAGTTATGTAGTTAACGGATTGGGAAACTGTCTACAACAAACCATTTTGAAGGTTGACAGGTTTATGATTGCAGGAGCGCTTTTGAAGGTATTAGTATTGATGGCAATCGTATAATAAACTGATATCAATCTATCTAAGCAAGAAAAAGAATGTTTTTTCCTCAAGTCTCAAACTAATTACCGTGAAATTCATACTCACAAAAACAAAATCAAAATCAAGACTGTGGGGTAGGGAGGACCATACTTGATTGAGATTTGAATAAATTAGCACGGTAGCTACACAATTGTGTGATAATAGAGACTCTTAGAATTTTCAACATTAGTGACATGATTGTATCAGCTTTTATAGATCTTATCCTACAAGGAGGACAACATAATTGATAGATCCACACAACAAGGGCTCAAAATCATGACAACCTCTGACAATTATTAAGGCATTCAGTTAGATAACCATGTACTTGTGCAATCGAGTTTTAAAACTTTGACTGCTGTCCAGATACGAATAAATATTTTACGACAACTCTTCGTTTATACTATCAACAAAACCTGAACATCGCCTATGTTATTCCAGCATATCCAGTCGCAAGCCCAGGTAGAGGGTTGTTGTTAGACTCCATATGCGTGTATATAGCTGGATTGGGCCGGGGCTGTGTGGCTCCTATAGCCGGCCGGCCCCCTCCTCTGTGATTATGGACAGGTATAGGAGATTATGGAAAGGAATAGGAGAGGAGAGCCTGTTTGGTTATGTTTCTATAAACCCAAGATGAGATTATGGATTAGTGACTTTTGAGGGTTGCAGTTAGACTGCATATGTACCCCTGTACCTTGATGAATCAATCTACTATTTCCACAATCTTCATTGCTTTCATGGTATCATGAGTCTGGGAATTCCCGGCTCTCTTCTATTGCATAGCGCACCCCTCGGCGCCGCTTCTCCCCTCAGATCGAGGCTGCGCCTCCCGCATGCCCCTCCCGGTCGCGCACGGACTCCGCCGTGCCACGCCTGTTGGCCAGGTAACACAAAGAGGAACTCAGTTTTGAACTGCCAGAGGGCAGCGTGGCCTTAGCCGCTTATTCTCATTTATAGGAAAAGCGAACTTGGGATACAAGGTCCTCAACCACTACAGCATATTCTAACTACATAAAGCAGATGCTACTTATCCTTAGCCTAAGAGCTGAAAACAGCTTGACAGGAAATAGTAAATAGCTAAGTAGTTTTAACTAGATACATAGAGCAGCACTTAGTATTAAAGATGCACCAAAACATATTAGCACAGTTTCATTACGCATAAAAGTGAATCTAATCATAGGTGATCTCATCCCAGCATTCGCCCATTCCAAGGACGTAGCTATTCGAATAGATTCAATACACTCTGCAGAGGTTGTAAAAATTTCCCCACACGATAGGCGTAGCCGACACCAGGGCCAGTGGTGCGGCAGGCCTAACGAGATCTCGTACCCGGATGGACGCATCCTCAGATTTCCATATAATTCTACCACAGCTTCTCAGGGGTTGGGAACACACTAAGCTAGGGAAGATACCAAATCATCCCATCTCAATGCTTCGGATGTGCAGTTATTAATAATAAGTATGGGCTCGAACGCGGCCAAAATCAAGGGGCTTTACGTGGAGGATTACATAGCAACCACGCCAACCGGGCCATGGAAGATCACATAGCATCCGTGCCTTCTCCTGATATTCCGCTGCCAACACCGGCCTCCTAGTAGAAATTATACTTCAATCTAACGAGGTGTGAGATCAAGTCTACCCATATAGACATGTGGTTGTACGAAATATCTCACTAGGCGAGATGGCCTACGAACCGGTCCTTGCGTGACCAAGGCGACTCCCAATAGGAACCATCACTAGGCGAACCTGCCAAGGTTACCTGTACCGCACAAGTTACCCCTCACTCGCCCCCTGTTATTGTTTAGTTCAGGTTTACCAGTTTTAAGTGTTACAGTTATTATCCTTAGGTTCATAGAGCTCATATCATATCAAGATAATCATTTACCATTTCATCATTAATCACATTATCATAGTCAAGCTCATATCATATAGAGATAATCATTTATCATATTCACCATTAACGCATTATAGCAATTGAGCTCATATTTCAGGTTAATTTATAAACAGAGTATTTAAATAGCATAAGTTGAGTTATTTAATTTAACAGATGGAGATGGCGAGGGAGAGTATGGTGGGGTTAGCAAGGTGGGATGGTCGAGGTAGGGGAAGTGGTTAAGGGATAACATATTATGTGGAGGGAAGGGATAGGTGGGGTTAGGACTTGCCTCCGCTCGCCGGCGAGTACATCCATAATCCAAGGGTCCGACTCTTCTTACTCTTATGACCGCTCTTCGACTCTTCTTACGTCCTCCTTCTACGTCGTCGTTGTCTAGCGTCGACACACAAGGCAAACACCAAGCAAGGCATACATAGCAAACATATCCGGCCGGGGAGAGCTCTGCTGGCAGTCATGGCAGAGCAGCAGCTGATTCGTACTCGTCCTGGTGATGCATTGTCGACGGAAATTGCGGGGGGACGACGACGTGCATCTGTGGGACACGAGCAAGATGACACCCGGGGACGCACGGCACGGCTGTGGTCTTTATTGGGCTGAGCCCAAGCAATTAAAGCGTATAAGCCACGATGGGAATTTAATTAAGCCCAAAAAAAAGTTTTGTAATTACTGAGGAGTCTTTTGTATTTTCCCAAAATAAATCAAGGAGGGTTACGAAAGGTTTTCATGGGATTTGGAACTCACGAAAAATAATGGGACTGGAAATACAAGGAAAACATTTTTGGCGCCGCAAATAAATTCTAGAAAAGCACACAAACAATACACGAACACATAATGCAGATGGTGAAATTTTTAATGCAGGTTTTTTTTTGGAAAAGCTTTTTTCTAAAACGGTTTAGTAGAAAATAAACTAATCAAGTTTTAATTTGTTGTAAAATTCTAAAAGTTCAAATTTTTAGTGATTTTTAACGGGATGAAAAACACAGGGTGTTACACCGGCTCAGTGGGAGGCGCCTCCTCGCCATCACCCACCGCCTTTAGCCTTCCATGTCACCTCGTCGATGGTGAGGTCCTCAAAGTCGAGGAGCGTCTCCATCGCCAGCGCGATCTAGGAGTACTTCTTCGGGACAACGCGCAGGAGCTTCTCCACCGCTCGCGCCTCCGTGAGGTCGTCATCACCATGGTGAGCCATCTGCTGCATCAGATTGGAGACGAAGGGCAAAGTCATCGACTTCCTTACCGGGGCGGAAAGCCAGACGATCCCAGTCCTGGCAGAGCCACAACAACGTCACCCGGTGAACCCGACGTGTACTGTAGCGATGGAGTTCCACGCCTGCTTGGCGGAGGCCTTCTCGGCGAGGGAAGCTCCCAGCTCTCGAGGAACGGTGGTGAGGATAGCCTCGAGCGCCCGCCGGTCATCGTGGAAGTCGAGAACGCTGTCCTTGACGGCGTCCTAGAGCTGTCGGGACTACATCTTGACCTTCATCGGCCGAGACCACTCGTGGTAGTTTGCCTCGGTGAGCATCGGCCACGGCGTCCCCACTCTCGAATCCTTGTAGACTGTGTGCACCACCGGCGACCGGCCACAGCGCCCTCGACGTCGATCGAGCGACGCGCGATCGTCGATGTGTGGCGGCGGTCGCTCCATCTCCCAAGAAGCAGCGCAAAGGCTCGGCGGTGGCCAGCTGCGACCCTAAGGTGCGACCACCGCCTCCCTCGGTGGTGCAGGCACGCCTGCGGTGGTGGCACCTGCTTGCAAGAACAATGCGCATGGTGGCGTCTTCAGCGGCTGTGGTGCTAGCGGATCGTGCACGGTGGCGTCTTCGGCGGCTACGGTGGCGGGGGCTGTGGCGCTAGCGGATCCTCCGGAGTGGTTGGATTTGGACATGGTGGTTCTCAACTCTAGATACCAATTGTTGGCTAGGTAACACAAAGTGGAACTCAGTTTTGAACTGCCAGAGGGCAGCATGGCCTTAACCGCTTATTCTCATTTATAGGAAAAGCAAACTTGGGATACAAGGTCCTCAACTACTACAGCATATTCTAGCTGCATAAAGCATATGCTACTTATCCTTAGCCTATGAAATGAAAACAGCTCGACAGGAAACAGTAAATAGCTAAGTAGTTTTAACTAGATACATAGAGCAGGACTTAGGCTTAACTCTCAACGCCCACCTCCCAGCCATGCCTAGAACTCCTCCCCTATTCCCTTCTGCGGCCGCCACTGCGACCAAGGAACAAGCCGACGCCGAGGCGGACGCCGCTGCCAATAAGGCAAAGGATGACGCCATCCTCACTACTGCCACAGCCGAGAAGGCCGTGGCTGATGCCAAGATAGCTCGGACCGCCAATATTCGTCAGTTCTGTGAGGTCACCCTTGTCTGCGCCCTAGAGCTTCGAGTGCGAGGCCGCCCTCGCTGCATAGGAGGGGGACACCGCCGCTGCCCAGGCCCGTGACACCCTCATGCCATGTGTCTACCTCTCCTCGGAACATCCAAGACGCCATGCTGCTTGACGAAGCCACCTACGCCGTCCTCAATCTCCATGCCCAAGTGGTCGCCGTTCGGAACATTCGCTCTCTGATCCCACTCGTTATTGATCTCAAGACCGGCAACTACAACCGCTACCGTGACTGTCTGAGGCCTTCCTTCTCACCGTCAGCATGTTCCTGGTCACCCTGACTAGGCTCACATGGATTGCATCGTCCACTCCTCGCTACTCATGGAGGAACTTACCCTCCAACAAGTCTTCTACGCTGCGCCACCTCGTCTTCTCCCACCTCCACCTTCAGTGCCTTCTCCATCGCCCCCCTCCACCAACGGGGGTGGCTACCACAGCAAGGGCATGAAGAAAAATGGTG